GCCCACGCAGGGCGCGCGGGCGACGCGGCACGTGGCTCGAAGTCGGCACCGACACCCTCTGGGCATGCCAGGAGTGCGCTGGCCGAGGCGAGGCGATCGCAGGCTCATGGACATGGGGTTCAGAAGGTGGCTCGGGCTCGGTAGCGGCTGGCGCGGCGCTGCCCACGGCCTGCGCGGCGGTGCTCTCCAGCCAGGCCAACGGCGCGCAGGGGTCCGACGTCGGCGACGCTGGACCCGCAGATGGTGGTGGCGGCGGGGCTGCTGGCAGCGGCGACGCGGCGCGGGCGCCTCCCGCGCCTCTCGCCCCACCGGTGGCGAAGGCCGCGGCGATGCCGCCGCCGCAGCTGCCGCCGTGGCGGGGGTTCGACGCGCACGACCCCCACGACCTCTGGCGCGCAGGGAACCACCTCTCCTGCGTCAAGTGCGGCTACTGGACCCAGAGTCGGAGGATGGCGGGCCTCGCGGTGGAGTGCCCGAAGGCCCCCAAGAACGACAGGCAGAAGGCGGCGCTCAGCCGCCTCAAGCGAAGCCTGCAGCCAGCGGGTACTGGAGGCATCGGCGACCCTGAACCCCTTTTCGGCGAATTTGGAGGCGCGTGGGCGGCGGCTGGCCTAGCAGCATCGCAGTGGCCTCCCTTTTAGCTGTTGCCCGCTCTGTCTCTCGCCGCCTGTCGGCATTCTGCCCGCCCTTGGCGGCGCGCTCGCTGTCTGCTCGTGCTAGCTCGGTGCTCTGTGCATGGCTGTCGCTCGAGCGGAAGCTGAACCAGGTGCGTAGATTCACCCACGCACGGGATCGGGCTCCGCGCCAGGGGGCAGCAATCAATCCGCGGAGTGGCCATGTGCCAGAGGACGTGTTGCTGCCGCGGAGTGCCTGCGCCCCAGGCGCATACGTTTCATGTAGCTGCTGGCGCGCTTCGGCGCGGCGGCCCGCGCAGCTGCTGCGCTCCAGCCCGATCTGTGCTCTGTGCCGCCTGTCGGAGGCTGAACGATGGTGGTCGGCGCACCGACCGCCATGTTCGCCTCCGAAGGCCACCGCAGTGCAAGCCGTCTCAGCGTGAGGCCAGGGCCTGGGGACCTTTGCACTGTGGTGGCACTTCGAGCCGTTGCGGGCTGAGTTGCCGTGAGTGCTGCAAGCCTTGCCTACCGCCTGCCTCTGGCTGGGGCGGTTGGCGTGGCCTTAGGCTTTCAGGTGAGTCTGCGAGTGTGCCTAGGGCACGGGTCGGGCCTTGCGACCGCAGCGCCAGAGGGAAAGACCAAGGCTTCGGAAGGCTGTAACGAGCGGGGAGCTCCAGACCTTCTCAGGCGCGCGGATCATCATCATCATCATCATCATCATCATCATCATAATCGTCATCGTCATCCTCATCGTCATCAATATCATTACCACCGTTATCACCATCACCATCATCATCGTCTTCATCATCATTTTCATCATCACCTTCATCCTGGTCATCATCATCATCATCAGCATCATCAGCATCATCATCATCATCATCATCATCATTATCATCATCCGCATCATCAGCATCATCACCATCATAACCATCATCGTCGTCGGTCTTGTTTGGTTTTGCATGGAATTTGGTGGCCCCTCCAGCTGGTGTGGGACTCATCATCGTCGCTTTCCTGTGCTTCGCCCTCCTGCCCCTCCTCGCCCTCCTCGTTTCCGTCCCCGCCGCCGCTCCCCCCATAGGGCGTCAAGCGTTTTCCAGGGGCGCCCGGGAGGTCCCCCCAAGAGGGGGCCGGGAGGCGCTCGCGAGGTGCAGGACCCCTGCAGGTCCCCGATCCTCGACGGCGGCGGCCCCTTGAGGGCTTTCAAGCACTTTCACGGGGGGGCGCTCGAGAGGGGTCTTAGGAGGCGCTCTCGGAGTCCAGGATGCCAGGCCCTCTCGACCTTCGGCGGCGGCGACGGCCACGGCGACGACGACGGTTCTGACGGCGGCGGCAACGACGGCGCCGACGACGGGCGGCGCGCATCGGGGGCGGGCGCGAGGAGGGTGGCCTCTCGAGAAGGCCGGGCGCTTCAGAGGGCTTCGGGGGACTTCTACAAGAAGGCCTCGTGGATGACGGGGGGGGGGATCCTGAGAAGCCCCCCCCCAGATTTTCTCAGAAGGCTCCCCCACCCCCCCACCCAGAGATCCGAGACCTTGATTCTGCCAAGTCAGAGTGAGGGGGCCGAGCGGTCATTCCTTGTCCCTGGGTGCGTGGCTGAAGTGAGATTCCGCGGTGCGGATTCGTGTTGTTGTTGTTTTTGTTGTTGTTGTTGTTTGTTTGTTTGTTTGTTTGTTTGTTTGTTTGTTTGTTTGTGTCTTTGTTTGTTTGTTTGTTTGTTTGTTTGTTTGGTTGGTTGTTGTTGGTGTTGTTGGTGTTGTTGGTGTTGTTGGTGTTGGTGTTGTTGTTGTTGGTGTTGTTGTTGTTGTTGGTGGTGGTGTTGTTGTTGTTGTTGTTGTTGTTGTTGTCGTTGTTGTTGTTGTTGTTGTTGTTGCTGTTTGTTGTTGTTTGTTGTCGTCGTCCCACCCGCAACCCGCCCCGCGACCCACCCGCGACCCACCCCGCGACCCACCCGCGACCCACCAGCGACCCACCCGCGACCCACCCGCGACCCACCCGCGACCCACCCCGCGACCCACCCCGCGACCCACCCTGCGACCCACCCTGCGACCCACCCGCGACCCACCCGCGACCCACCCCGCGACCCACCCCGCGGCCCACCCCGCGACCCACCCGCGACCCACCCGCGACCCACCCCGCGACCCGCCCGCGGCCCACCCCGCGACCCACCCGCGACCCGCCCGCGACCCACCCGCGACCCACCCGCGACCCACCCGCGACTCACCCCGCGACCCACCCGCGACCCACCTTCGACCCAAACCACGTTCAAGGTACAAACCAACATTTTCGGCGCCTGCGGCGGGCTTTTTTTGCATTCCTTCCAGGTGGAGAGCCCGCGACCCACCCCGCGATCAACTCGCGACCAACCCGCGACCCAAACCACGTTCAGGGTACAAACCACATTTTCGGCGCCTGCGGCGGGCATCTTTTGAATCGTTCTAGGTGGAGAGACCGCGGCCCACCCGCGACCACGTTCAGGGTACAAACCAATTTTTTCGGCGCCTGCGGCGAGCATCTTTTGCATTCGTTCCTGGTGGAGAACCCGCGGCCCACCCGCGACCCAAACCACGTTCAGTGTACAAACCAATTTTTTCGGCGCCTGCGGCGGGCTGCTTTTGCAGGAGGACGAGGAGGGGGAGGAGGAGGAGGAGGAGGAGGAGGAGGAGGAGGAGGAGCAGCAGCAGCAGCAGCAGCAGGAGGAGGAGGAGCAGCAGCAGCAGGAGGAGGAGGAGGAGGAGGGAGGGGACGACGACGATGACGTCGACGACGACGACGACGACGAAAAGGAGGAGGGTGGAGGATCGGGAGGGGGGGAAGAGGAGGAGGACGACGAGGAGGAACATGACGACAATGGGAGGACGATGATGGAAGGACGAGGGGGGGAGAGGGAGGACGAGGAAGAAGCGGAGGAGGAGGAGGAGGAGGACGAGGTGGAGGAGGAGGACGACGATGACGATGAGAACGAGGACGAGGACGAGGAAGAGGAGGAGGAGTAGGAGGCGGAGGAGGAGGAGGAGAGGAGGAGGAGGAGGAGGAGGAGGAGGAGGAGGAGGAGGAGGAGGAGGAGGAGGAGGAGCGCCATCGACAAGGAAGGTGGGGGCCACGAGGTCCGCCGGCTTGACAACGCCCGCGTCGCCCGCGCCCGCCCCCTCACTCTTATCCGCAATTGCGGGATGCTATATACCCAGAACTCCTCGGGTCCTGAAAAAGCCACGGCGGGAACTTTCCCCTACCTTCGGCTTTTGAGGGCACCGGGCCTCTCGACCGCACCAGGGATGAGACTGGGAAGGGATCGAGACCGTCGGGGGGCGAAGTTGTGGAAAAATCATGACAACGGAGGAGGAGGAGGAGGAGGAGGAGGAGGAGGAGGAGAGGAGAGGAGGAGGAGGAGGAGGAGGAGGAGGAGGAGCAAGAGGAGAGAGGAGGAGCAAGAGGAGCAGGAGGAGCAGGAGGAGGAGGAGGAGGAGGAGAGGAGGAGGAGGAGGAGGAGGAGGAGGAGGAGGAGGAGGAGGAGGAGGAGGAGGAGGAGGAGGGAGGAGGAGGAGGAGGAAGAGGGGTCCCAGGACGCCCCGACCCTTGCCCCACGGCGGGCCTCTCGAAGCCTGAGTATCAATGTTTGACGGCCCCGGGGCCCCAGGGCCTGGCGAGACGGCCCCCCCCGAGGCCGCCTAGGAAGGCCAGCGTGTGTTGGCCCCCCACTCGGCAGGCTGCGGGGGTCCGCTGCGGGAGGCCGGGCCCCCGACCCGCCTCGCGCGCCCTGCATGCCGCGGCCGCCGTGCCCCACGGGGCTTCGGTGCCCCCGGAGTATCGCATCTGGCGTCCTCGGCGCATGACCACCGACTGCATGCTGCGGGCGCCAGGCACCTAGGAGCCGGGTGCCCCCTGGGCATCCCGCCTCGCGTGCCCGGGTGGGGATCGCTCGAGGCAAAAAAATGATGTTCAAGAGGTCAGCCCCCCCTCGCTGGGATGCAACTCCTGGGAGGTTGAATTCAGCATCGGCGCTGGTATATCCTGGGGCAAAGCCAAACTAGTCCAGCCTAGTTCCGTTTAGCCTGGCTCGATCTGGCTGATTCCCGCTCCGTCTGGCTGAGTCCAGCTCAGTCCCGCGCGTAATCCTGCCTGGGTGCCCCCTGAATCGGGCTTTGTGGACCTCATCATTGTTCCTGCGATAACCTCTGCGTGCCGCCACGACTTAGGATTCCATCATGAGCCCCTCCCTTGTTGACCGCACCCATTCAGGTCTTGCGCCGACGGCCGCAGGAGACTGCCGAAGATCCTCAGAAGACCGCCGAAAGCCGCCCGAGGGCCGCCGAAGACGGCCCAGGAGCCATGGGTGACCGGCGGCAGCGGCACGTGGCCGAACGCGTATAACGTGACGACGCCGTGCAGGACACCAACGTGGGCCGGGGCTTCGGCTTCCTCGTCTTCTCCGACGAGGCCTCCGCCCTGGCGGCCCTGGAGCGGCTGCGCGGGGCCGAGGTGGACGGCCGGAAAGTCAGGAGCTGCCGCCGCCGCCCGCCCGCCCTGCTGCTGCCGCATGCTGCGGCCCTCCTCCTCCTCTTCCTCCTCCTCCTCCTCCTCCTCCTCCTTCTCCTCCTCCTCCTCCTCCTCCTCCTCGTCGTTCCCCTTGTCTCATCCTCCCCCGTCCTCCTCCTTATTCCCCCTTGTCACCTATTCCGCCTCTACCCTCCTCCTCCTCCTCCTCATCCTTCTCCTCCTCGTCCTCCTCCTCCTCCTCGTCCTTCCTACCCCCGTCCTCCTCGTCGGATCTCCCCCTCTCCTCTCCTGGGCAGCCCTCATTCCCTTGTTTCCTTCTCCTCCTCCGACTTCATTCTCCTTTCTCCTCCTCCTCCTCCTACTCGTCCTACTCATCCTCTTCCCTCCCCCTTGTCTCCTCCTCGTCGTCGTCGTCGTCCTCCTCCTCCTCCTCCTCCGCGAGTGGCCGAGGTTCGAGGGCCAGAGTCGGAGTCGAGATCATCGAGGTTTCTGGGAGGGGCGTGGGCCTGCTGAGTGAGGGAGGGGAGGGCCAGGGAAAGGGGACGGGCAGGGGGGGGGGGAGGAGGGGGAGGATGGGGGAGGGGGAGGATGGGGGAGGAGGAGGGGAGGAGGAGGAGGAGGAGGAGGAGGAGGAGGAGGAGGAGGAGGAGGAGGAGGAGGAGGAGGAGGAGGAGGAGGAGCAGCAGGGGGAGGAGGAGGGGGAGGAGGAAGAGGAGGAGGAAGAGGAGGAGGAGGAGGAGGAGAAAATTGAGGAGGAGGAGGAGGAGAAGAACATTGAGGAGGAGGAGGAAATTGAGGAGGATAATTCCCAAGCCTGATGGATATCAAGATCGATCTTAAGAACTGGGGCGACCAACAGAAACGCATCTGGGGAATTGGACAGTTACCTCACGCCGGGGTGCCGCGAAGCTCGGGGGCTTGTACTCAGCAGCGGGGAGCCCATGTGGAGGGCCAGCATGTTTGGGGCGCCGCGCCCTCGGGGCTTCTTGGGGGAGGGGACGGGGACAGGGAGAGGGAGGAGGTCAAGCGAGGTGCGCTCGCGCCGTATCTGACATCCTATCCTTTCCATCCGTCCCTCCCCATTGCGCTGATTTTCTTCCATTTTGGAGGAAGCCGTACCCATACATACCGCTACCCTTCCCTCGTGTTTCCCGTCTTCGGTCTCCTGGGAGGCCCCCGCCGCCACCGCTGGATTCGCCACGAAATTCCTGTCAGAACGCACCCTGGGAGGGGTTCGGATTGGACCTGGCTGGAGTTCTCCGCCAGGCGCCGCCAGACTGGACCTGGCTCCACTTCTCCACGGGCCCAGTGCTTCCAGGAGCGGTCTGGCTGGCGGCGCTGAGCCGCGCGAGCGGCGCACGCGCGGGAGTCAGGTTTTGCAAGCGACCCCCTTGCGGGCCAAATGCGTGCAAACGCGCGACGCCTCTTGGCTCGCCGCTCACAGGCGGGCAAGCTGCCCACCAGACGCCGGCCCGCATGGGCAGACCTGCTGCCCTTGCGCCTTCTGTGCCTGTCATACCGATCTCCAGCACGCACGCGCATCTCTACATGCGGGGCGTCGCGCAGCGCCCCTGCTTCCCGGAACAGGAGGAGGAGGAGGAGGAGGAGGTGGAGGAGGAGGTGGAGGAGGAGGAGGAGGGGAGGAGAAGGAGGAGGGGAGAGGGAGGAGGAGGAGGAGGAGGGAGGAGGAGAGGAGGAGGAGGAGGAGGAGGAGGAGGAGGAGGAGGAGGAGGAGGAGGAGGAGGAGCGAGGAGGAGGAGGAGGAGGAGGAGGAGGAGGACGCCGGGCGTCGGCGCACCCGCGCTTGTCTGAGCGCGCGCTCGCACTGCGCTCCTGCGATACGGGGCCTGCGCGCCCCCTGCGCGCCCCCCTATGCGCGCCGCGGCGCGCCATGGCCTCCCCGTGCGCCCCCCGCGCGCTTTTGTACGCCGCACTCTGCGCGTCGCTTCGCGCCTCGGCGCGCGCGCCTCGGCGTTTTTCGGCGCGCGGCGGCGCGTCCCTGGCACTTCGCCACGCCGCCGCGTCGAGCCTGCGCGCCTCGCGCGAGCCTGCGCACGCCGCCGCGTCCCTGCACGATGTGTGCTCGGCGTGTGCGTGTGCTCACGTCCGCGTCTCTTCGCGCTTCCAGGCACCAGCGTGCCACCGAGTGGCTGCGCGCCTGCGCACGCTGTCGCGTTTTCCGCGCATCTGTGCACACCCGCGCGCGCGCGCGCGTCTGCGCACCAGGGGACCCCTCGTTCGCACGCAGGCGCACTTTCGCACGCCTTCTTGCACTTTTGTTTTTTCAGCCAAGAAGGCATGAGGCTCTGAGGCGGAGAGGCGAACGCGAGTGCGCCCTGACGGTTTTCCTGCCCCCCAAATCGCTGCGCGATTTGGGGGCCTTGACAATGAGGCCCACGCTGCAGCGGGAGCACCATTTTGAAACACCGAATGCGATTAGATGGTAAAGTGACCGTAAGAAACCACCATGCTTGTCCAAACCTGTTGTGAAATAAAGCAGACGCGGAGTCATGAAGGAGAGGAGGGCCGTATGTTGTGCTCCGAGGCAGTGCAAGTTGTGCATGATAGATATGGTGCTGAATAGCGCATACTGGTCTCATCTCCGAAGTCGGTCGCCAGCCAACAGGTAGGGTCTGCCTTGCTGGTGGAGGGTAAGAGTCATCACGTGTACTACGTGTACTTGTGGAGTTGTGGAGGAGGAGGAGGAGGGGGAGGAGGAGAAGGAGGGGTAAGGGTGCCCCAGGTCTGGTGGCCGATGCTTCCGACCCAGGACACCAGGAGTGGAGGCCCAACACATGTGTGACACACATGAGCCCATGAACTTGGAATTCTGGCAGCTTCGGTCGACGAACCTCGACCCCCGACCCTTGACCGACGACGGCGCGTTTGCCGACGACGACGACGACTGGGGCGGTGAGATCGACAACGTCGACGATGGCGGCGGCGGCGACGGCGGCGGCGGCGGCGTCCGACGACGGCGGCAGAGACGGTGGGCTCGTCGGCCGCGGCGACCACGGCGACGGCGCACGGCGGCGACGGCGGTCGACGTCGACGACGCTGTCGACGATGCCGCCGACGTCGACGATGCCGCCGACGTCGACGTCGGCGGCGGCGGCGACGCCACGACGGCGGCGGCGGCGACGCCGGCGGAGCAGGATCGACCAGAAGGGCAAGAAGGCCGAGCAGCCGCCGCGCGAGCGCTCCCGCTCGCGCGACCGCGGGCGCGGTGGCGGCGAAGGCGTGCGCCTAGCAGACGTCGTCGTCGTCGTCGTCGCCGTCGTCTTCGCCGTCGTCGTCGTCGTCTTTGTCGTCGTCGTCGTCGTCGTTGTCGTCGTCGCCGCCGCCGTCCTCGCCGCAGACGCCGTCGTCGTCATCGCCATCGTCGCCGCCGCGTGCGTCATCGTTGTCCTCGGTTCTAGAGGTGTAAGGTCTGAGGCTTTTCGACGCTCTCTAGACCTCCGTGGGCATCAGGGGACCTCAGGGGGCCTCCAGAGATCATCTCAAAAAATCCACGTCATCGTCGTCGCCGCCGCGCCGTCGCCGTCGAGGGAGGGGGGGAGGAAGGTTAGGTTAGGGCAGCCCCGAGGGGAAGGACTCCCGAGTCGAAAACGTGCTGGGGAGATCGTGAACAGGGAACGTTTTGCCGCCCAGGCAGAGAGCGATAGCCTCTCCTCCTCCCTCCCCCCATTCGCCTCCTTCCGCCCCCCATCTATTTCTTCAACAGGTTTTGAGCACGCGCGTGTGCGCTCTACTTCTATCTAATTCAAACGACCCCGCGCACCCGAAGCGACGACAGAGCGCAACCGAGCGTTGCAAGTGATCGTCCCAGCGACCGACCCTGTGTCTGCCCCCTCTTCACTGCTGCACCGTTGGAACAGGTGCTGCTCTGACTGCCTTCTGCACCCTGGTGCTCCTTTTTCCCGTTATGTTTCCTTTCGGGCGCCTTAGACACGCTAACGGCGATGTAGGTAACGGCGATGTAGGTTTCGGTATTCTGGGAACGCGTGGCTCGGGCTTTCCTACAATGCGCTGTGTCGTTTTCGTTAAATACGTTTGCATTTGAGGAATGTAGGAAAGTGTGAATCGTGATTTCCTACAAGTTGGTTCCCAACATCACCGTTAAGCAACATCGCCGTTAGCGTGGCCTTGGAGGCGCCCGTCTTCGCCTGTCGCATCGGGTCTCGTTGCCCAGGCAGCTGGTTGCTGCACTTCCCTGGCAGCCGCGACAAGGGCCACGATGGCTTCGCGTCGCGTCGACGCAGCGGCGACCCCTGCGCGGGCACTCGAGGTTGAACGCCGCCAGCTCAGACATCCGGCTGTTCAAATTTTTCGATGCGTGGGCCCCGGAGGTCCAGATCACCTGCCTTTTGGGCCGGTTTTTCGTCCTGAGTCGTTTTTGTTGGCGCTCTCGAGGCCCGGCGAGGACCCCCCGAGGCCGAACAAGGACAAAGACCGCCCGCTTCATTTTTTTCGGAGCCTCGGACTTTTGGGAGTGGCCCCGAATCGGCCCATGTGGAGCGACCCGGCGATCGACAGAAGCAGCCGAATCGCTCAAGGTCGAACGATATCCACGCGGTGCCAGAAAGACCAGCGCGCAGGCCGTCACGTCACTGGCCTGCCGCCATCGGGCCCGCAGTCCAGCATCCCCCCTCCCCCTTCGTCGGGGGCAGGCGCTGTCTGCGCGATCATCTTCCCTTCCTCATTCCCTGACATCCAGCGGCGCGAACAAATCAGAGCACAGTGAAAGACCGCCGCCGTGACCCATCTCTCTGCGGCAGCTTTCGAGCTAGATCGATCCGTGAGGGTCCCGGGCGGCCCGACACAGGACCCGAGGAGGCCCGTTTCGAACTAACGTTCAAGACGCCATGCAAGACCTCAGGGATCCACAGAAGTCAAAACCCTTTCCCCACGGCCCCGGGGCCCAGCAAGGACCCCCGTGGGCCGAAGTTTGCCCCGAACCTTCTCTCGTCGTGTTTGCACGACGCGAGCATGTCCCGGTCTGGGGTGCGTTCTGGAGGGGATTGTCAGGCAGATCCAGCCGTGGTGACGAGGAGCCCCCCGGAGGCCCAAGAAGTGCAAAAAGAACGCCCAGGTCGATCCTCCATCCTCGAACTTCCGACTTGGGAACGGACGCACGACACGAGCGCGTCCGGGGGGGCAGGCGCCGTCACCGTGACCATCTTCGTGGACGAGCTCTCGATGCCCAGCCGGCCCCACCTCGAGCCCTTCGCCGAGGACCGGGAGGCGTCGTGGGCGAGAAACAATACAACGTTCCCGCGGGCGCGGCCTCCCTGGCTGGGCGCCCCTGGGCCGCGACCCTGCGGACACGGGGCGCCTTGTCGCAGAGGCCCCGCGCGGAGCGTGTCCGTGCGACCGCGCATCCGCGGGATCGCGCCCCTGAGCCCATACCGCGAGAGGATCTACGGTGGAGGCACGCTGGAAGGAGGTTTTGCTTCCGGGCGGGGCCAGTGCGGGGCGCAGCGCAGGGTCCAGGAAAAGTCCTCAAGGCCGTGATGGGCTCCCGACCATGCCTTGCACAGAGTTAAAGGACTCTGCCGATTCGAGCCTCCGCGCTCCTTCACAGTGGCATCATTGTGTCGAGCCTCCACCGTGTGCCGGATGTGGCTACGCTCGCCGCTCGCGGAGGTGTGGGTCGACCCGCTGCTGGACGAAAGTGGTGGGCACGAGTGGCTGCAGGAGCAGGGCGCCTCCCTGTCGTCGCCGTGTGCTGCCTGCTCCTTCGGGGGGGGAGGCGAAGGAGGAGGGGGAGGGGGAGGGGGGGTTGGGGAGGAGGAGGAGGAGGAGGAGGAGGAGGAGGAGGAGGAGGGGGAGGAGGAGGAGGAGGAGGAGGAGGAGGAGGAGGGAGGGAGGAGGGGAGGGAGGGAGGGAGGGAGGGAGGGAGGGAGGGGAGGGGAGGGAGGGGAGGGGAGGGGAGGGGAGGGGAGGGGAGGGGAGGGGAGGGGAGGGGAGGGGAGGGGGGGGAGGGGAGGGGAGGGGAGGGGAGCGGGGGGAGGGGAGGGGAGGGGAGGGGAGGGGAGGGGGGGAGGGGAGGGGAGGGAGGGGGGCGGGGAGGGGAGGGGAGGGGAGGGGAGGGGAGGGGAGGGGAGGGGAGGGGAGGGGAGGGGAGGGGAGGGGAGGGGAGGGGAGGGCGAGGGGAGGGGAGGGGAGGGGAGGGGGAGGGGGGGAGGGGAGGGGAGGGGAGGGGAGCAGAGGAGGGGAGGGGAGGGAGGGGGAGGGGAGGGGAGGGGAGGGGAGGAGAGGGGGGGGGGAGGGGAGGGGAGGGGAGGAGGAGGGAGAGGAGGAGGAGGAGGAGAGGAGGAGGGGAGGAGAGAGCAGGAGGAGATGCGAGGAGGAGATGGAGGATGAAAAGGAGGAGTAGGAGGAGGAGGAGGAGGATGAGGAGGAGGAGGAGGAGGAGGAGGAGGAGGAGGAGGAGGAGGAGGAGGAGGAGGAGGAGGAGGAGGAGGGAGGAGGAGGAGGAGGAGGAGGAGAGGAGGAGGGGGGGAGGAGGAGGGGGAGGAGGAGGAGGAGGAGGAAGAGGAGCATGTTTGCTCGTCGCAGCGGCGCGGGTTCTACGCCGTGGTAGGAGGCGGCCGAGGGGCACTGCGGGGCCTACTTGGGCGCAGCAGGAGAGGAAGGCGCGTGCGCGGGGTGAGGAGGGGGCGGTGCGCGCTCAGGGCACCGAGCCATTGAGCATGTGTGCCAGCGCACGGCATGCACGACAGTCAGCTGTGGAAGCAGTCCAGGGATGTGAAGCAACACCCGAATCCAGGGGCCACGATCTCGGGAACGAGCGGAGGGAAACACGCCGACAACGCGACTCGTCCTGGAGGTCGATCCCTCGCCACCACGTCTGGACTCTCCTCGACATTCTGCTCGGAGCCACATCATATCAATCCCTCCTCCTCCTCCTTCTCCTCCTCCTCGCTCCTCCTCCTCCTCGCTCCTCCTCCTCCTCCTCCTCCTCCTCCTCCTCCCTCGTCCTCCCTCCTCCCTCCTCCCTGCTGCTCCTCCTCCTCGTCCTCCTTCTCCTCCCCTTCCTCCTCCTCCTCCTCCTCCTCCTCCTCCTCCTCCCTCCTCCTCCTCCTCCTCCTCCTCTTCCTCCTCCTCCTCCTCCTCCTCCTCCTCCCAGCATGGCGGGGGGACTCGATGCGATGAAGCTCTAGGCTCGTCCTCCCTGCTCCTTTTGGGTAGGAGGGGAGAACAGGGATGGGCAGCACCGGGGAAGGCTGGAGGGGGTGGCAGGGTTCCAGGCTCGAGGTGTGCGGTCGTCTTCGTTGGTCTTGGGGACGACGTACTAACGACGTCCTCCCTGCCTCGGGAGAGGGGTCGTGGTTCGAGGTAGTCGGACGTTTACGTCGGTTCTCGGCGGTTTTCCAGCCTCGAGATGCCCTCCAGCAGCTGCTTCTCGCCGAGAGCGTTCCGGGAGTGCCCGGATCGTCCCGGCAGGGAGCAAGAGGGAAAGGGAAAGGGAGGAACATATACCGATACCCCTGCTCGTCCTGGAGATCCCTCGTCGCCACGCTCGGAATCTCCTCGGGATTCTGGTCAACGCGCGTTCTGGGAGAGGTTCGGGGAGTAGCGCTATCGGGGCGTTTCTTCGTCGCAGTCATCCTCCTGCTCCTTCGGGGTCAGGGGGGGAAGGTGATGGGTGGGAGGCAAGCTAGGTGCGCTCGCGCCTAAACTGACATCCTATCCCTCCCTCACATCCCGTTCCATTGCGCTACATCTTCTTTATGCTCGGACGCGTGTCCTAGCCGACCTGCGCCTCCCACAGGAAGACCACTTCGTGTTTGGCGCAATCGGAAAAACTGGGGCTGCATCCACAGGAGGAGGAGGAGGAGGTGGAGGAGGAGGAGGAGGTGGCGGGTGAGCAGGAGGATCAGATGGAGGAAAATGATGAGGACGAACACCAGCAGGAACTAAAGCGGAAAGATCAGGAGGAAGCGAAGGACCAGGGGAAGGCGGAGGAAGGGAAATGAGTGGGGCGACAACGGTGACGAAAGACTCGGATACAGAAAAGTTACCCGCGTTGGGGCGAGACGAACAGCAGCAACAGGAACTCGAATGCAAAGAGCGGGAGGAACATGATTACCAGGGGAAGGCGCAGGAGGGTACATGAGGGAGCTATCACGAAGCAAGACTCGGATCCAGAGAGGTGGCCCGCGTTGTGGCGAGAGCGCTCTTCTGAGCCACGAAAGCAGAGCGCCCATCCGAAAATGAGGCCCACGATGCCGCGGGAACATCACTTTGAAATGCCGAACACAGTCGGATCGTAGAAACCATAAAAGACAGTCAGTGCTTGACATCCTGTGAAAACACTTTATGGTCGGCAGCCTCCGCTCAGCGTGCCGCTCTGCTGGCTCTCGTGCACGCTTCGGCGCGACGCGTCGTCCACGTCCCGGTCCCCACGCGCCGACGCCCGGCGTTCTTCCCAATGCCTGCCGCCCCGCGGATCGGAGCGGCGCGCTAGCTGCTCGCGGGGCACAGCATGTCGCCGGGGCCGCCGCAGCGACGCGCTACGCAAACATTCACGACCGTAACTCAAGCAGTGGCGAAGCGTCCCGGCTCGCTTATAGTTCCACCAAACAATGTTCTAATAACCTTTTGTGGTTTCCACAAAATGTTCTTAGAACATTTCTGGCGGAGCTTGTTTTGTTTTATCACATCGGGTTTATGTTCTAAGAACATTGCTTTTGTTCTTAGAGCATTTTTGGGTTCTAAGAACATTTCGTGGTATGACTATAGAACTGCCGGGACGGTCGGTCCCTGCTCAAGTAACCCCGCTAGCGGGCCCAGTTCATTGGTGACACCACCCCTGCACGGGGGACGCGTGCGCCCATCGTGGCTGGTGCCATTGCGCACCTGCCCGCGGCCGGGGCAGATTGCAGGGCAGCACCCTCCACCCCCACGGGCGCCCTTGAAGGCGCAGTCCAATTCGATGAGCAGGTCGACCCTTTTGAATTAAGGGTGCCCTTGTGTCCTGTGTATGGCGTCACATGTCGGCTGCACTCCTCGGGCAAAGGCGCTTTTGTTTATCCGCAATGCTGCCCTCGGGAAAGTCTTGTGTGCTCTCGCGTGTTCTCTCTAACCAAACTCGACTGTACGATGGAGTGACGGGTGCTGGGGACGGAGGGGGTCTCGCCTGAGAGGGGGGGAGAGAGAGGATCGAGGAGGAAGGGTAGGGAGAGGAGAAAGAGGAGGGAGGAGGGGAACGGGGGGGGGGGATGAGGGAGGATGGAGGCAGGACGGAAGGGGAGAGGGAAGAGGGAGCAGAGGATGGAGAGTGGAGAAGGAGGCCGACGCCGCCGCCTCCGTCGCCACTGCCGCCGTCTCCGTCTGCGCCCTCGTCGCCGCCAGCGCCGTCGTCGTCGTCGCCCTCGTCCTCGCCGCCGCCGTCGGCCTCGTCCTCCCCGCCGCCCTGGTCGCCCCCCGCCACCTGCCGCCGTGCCGCCTCCGCGCGCCGCGCCCCAGAGAGCCGCACGCCGACCAAAGTGCGCGCCGGCGCGGCACAGCCCGGCCGGGGGGCGCTGCCCAGCCGGGTGTTGCTGGCAGTGCCCCCCTGGCCCAAGGTGCCCCCAGGAGTTCCAAGGAGGCTCCCACAGCCTCCTCTTCCTCCTCCTCCTCCTCCTCCTCCTCCTCCTCCTCCTCCTCCTCCTCCTCAGGGCACCCCATCACGAGGCCCAGAGGGGCCCAGGGGGCTCCAACATGGGGCGGAGAGCGGGGGGCACCCCGGGCCAGGGGCACCTTCAGCACCCCCCCGACCCAGGATCGGCGTGACCCCAACATACTAACACTATGTGCGCGTCGCCCCCACAGGGGCGACGCGCGCACCGAGACATCTGATAGTGTAGGCGTCGTGGCGGGCGCTCTCTGGCCACACCGCTCGGGAAACGATCCACTGCAAGATTGGTCTACGATATGTTCCGGGTCGGGCGTGTGCCTCTCCGAGGAGGACATCTAGTGTTGGTATGTCTCTGTTCTGGAGGGAAAGAAACACACAGACACAACGAATCGTCGATTCCCAGGAAAATATGGGAAACTATGGGAAGTGGGGGGGCAGACAAAAACCGATTGAATATGGGAGAAATATGGGGGATCTTTTTTACTTGTGTGCATTTATTTGTGTGTCCTGGGGCCCCTTCAATACTACAAGATTGGTCTACTATCTGTTCCTGGTCGGGCGTGTGCCTCTCCGAGGAAGACATATCGTGTTAGTATGCCTCCGTGCGCCCCACAGGAGTTCGGAGCCCTCGAGGGCGTCTTCCGGGTCCCCGACGTCGGCACGGGCGAGGAGACCGAGCGCGGCTACGCGAGGCGGCCGCGCGCGCGGCGGCCCTCCGGCGGCGGCCCTCCGGCGGCGTGCGCGCGGGGCAGCCGCGCGCCGCGGAGCCTCTGCGGCCCCCGCGGCAGCGGTCCGGCGGCCCTCGGCGGCCCTGGGCGGCGGCCGGCTGGAGGGGCAGGGAGCCCGCAAACCTTATGAGGTTCCAACCTGCTTTATAGCCTTGATCACCAGAAGGAGTTTCGAGCAACGTATCGAAACTCGAGGGTGTTCACGTGTCGGGCCCTTGGAGGCGCTCGTCCGACACTGTGTCGACACTCTTTCGACACTTTTCCGGGTGCTCGAATTCATTTCTGGGACGTGGTCCTTAAGTACGATGGGAGCAACATCGCCCAAACCCAGAGATCCTGGCGTCCCAATTGTTTCGAGCCGGGCGTTTTCGCTTTTTGTTTTGCGCCCCGGGGCCCTCGCAGATCGATCCGGCTCGAAACATTACGCAGGGTCTGGGGCTCCGGGCGTGAATTTTCACGATGTTGCATCTTTTCGCTACGTCAGGGAACGGTGTGGGGACCACACTGTGTGGTGAGTCGGTGGGGGTTTCGGGGTCACCGCACGGTTTGGGGACTTGCGTGGTTCTCCGAGGACGTTTCGGGCGATTGGGGCCTCGGAGGTCCCAAAGCCGTGTGGTGACGGGCCCTGCAATAAGGTCTTTGCGGATTTCGAGGTCGGCGCCCCCAGATTCGAAGAACAAAATCGGCCACGCGCAGAGGGGGGCAGGGGGATGGGGGAAGGCTTCTTCGAAAGAGTCTGCGTCTTGGAAGGTGCGGGCCTTGTCTGCAGATGTAAGGCCCGCGCCTTCCAAGACGCGGCCCCCTTCTGAGAAGCCTTCCCCCGTCCCCCCCCTCTGCGCGCAGCCCAAGAACTGCATAAGCATAAACTTTCGAAGCTCCGTGCGGATTCCTGCGCCAGGGAAGCGGGTTCCCTGCGAATCCAAGAAATCAGCGCGGACCTCCAAAAGCGTAAGTTTATGCCGTGTTCTGTTCCTCTACAGATGTCCGACAACGTGTGTGTTTCTGCAACCCTGGCGGCTTGTCATTCCTTTCAGCCTTTCCGTTTGGTCGCTTTCGGGCCGGGGGGCCATCCGAAACAGTGTTTCCCAACCATCCTGTGGTGTTGGGTCTTCGTTTTGAAGAGACAGCGCCCCGCGTCTCCTCTCCTCTCCTCTCCTCTCCTCCTCCTCCTCTCCCCCCTCCTCCCTCCTCCCATCGCCGTCATCATACTCATCGTCATCATCATCATCATCATCATCATCATCATCATCATCATCATCATCATCATCATCATCATCATCTCATCATCATCATCATCATCATCATCGTCATCATCACCACCAGCATCATCATCGTCATCATCATCGCCATCGCCATTAGTTCCCAACCATCCTGTCATCATCACCACCAGCATCATCATCGTCATCACCACCAGCATCATCATCGTCATCATCATCATCATCATCATCATCATCATCGCCATCGCCATTAGTTCCCATTTCCGCACACCCCTCACACGTTTCGTGGCCCCATAGGGAGCTCCACCGAAGGCCCCAGTGGCAGGGTTCGCATGCCGCCCCCACCCCACTTTGGCACACCCCTCACACGTTTCGTGGCCCCATAGGTAGCTCCACCGAAGGCCCCAGTGGCAGGGTTCGCATGCCGCCCCCACCCCACTTTGGCACACCCCTCACACGTTTCGTGGCCCCATAGGTAGCTCCACCGAAGGCCCCAGTGGCAGGGTTCGCATGCCGCCCCCACCTCACTTTGGCACACCCCTCACACGTTTCGTGGCCCCATAGGGAGCTCCACCGAAGGCCCCAGTGGCAGGGTTCGCATGCCGCCCCCACCCCACTTTGGCACACCCCTCACGCGTTTCGTGGCCCCATAGGTAGCTCCACCGAAGGCCCCAGTGGCAGGGTTCGCATGCCGCCCCCGCCCCACTTTGGCACACCCCTCACACGTTTCGTGGCCTCATAGGGAGCTCCACCGAAGGCCCCAGTGGCAGGGTTCGCATGCCGCCCCCACCCCACTTTGGCACACCCCTCACGCATTTCGTGGCCCCATAGGGTGCTCTACCGAAGGCCCCCGTGGCAGGGTTCGCATGCCGCCCCCACCCACTTTTGCACACCCCTCACACGTTTCGTGGCCCCATTGGGAGTTCCACCGACGGCCCCAGTGGCAGGGTTCGCATGCGTCCGCGCCACCCATGTCGACACACCCTTGACACGTTTCGTGGCCCCATAATGAGCTCCACCGAAGGCCCCAGTGGCAGAGTTGGCATGCCGCCCCTCGCCCATTTCGGCCCACCCCTCACACGTTTCGTGGCCCCATAGGGAGCTCCACCGAAGGGGCCCAGTGGTTGCGTTCGCATGCGTCCCCACCACCCATTTCGGCACACCCCTCATACGTTTCGTGGCCCCATAGGGAGCTCCACCGAAGGCCCCAGTGGCTCCCCACCACCCATTTCGGCACACCCCTCACACGTTTCGTGGCCCCATAGGGAGCTCCACCGAAGGCCCCAGTGGCTGCGTTCGCATGCCTCCCCACCACCCATTTCGGCACACCCCTCACACGTTTCGTGGCCCCATAGGGAGCTCCACCGAAGGCCCCAGTGGCAGGGTCCGCATGCCTCCCCACCACCCATTTCGGCACACCCCTCACACGTTTCGTGGCCCCATAGGGAGCTCCACCGAAGGCCCCAGTGGCGCGGTGCCTATGAGAAGAGGGGCCTAGTTTGCGTGCCCCCTCCTTCGTCTCATATCCGTGCGGTACTCGCAGCTGCATATGGTTGGGTCCTTCGCCAGGCTGATTTTTTGATTCGCGGGTCGAGAGCGCACCTCTTCCGGTCGAAAGCTAAGCGGGCTGCGCGAAGCTTGAATTAACACGGGGGGGGGGACAGGGGGCCATCCAAACCAGATTTGCGGCGAGAAGCTGCCCGTGGCACGGGGTGCGCGGTCGGGGCGCTCTGGTCTGGACCCCTCTCCCCTGGGTGCGGCGTCTCGCGGCCCGAAAAAGGTGCGAACCGTTCCGAGCCCTGGGGCCGCGGATTGACAGGAGCACCTCATCGGATGTCGGGGTCGTTCTCGCCGTCGTCGTCGCGGTCGTCGTTGTCCGTGTCGTCGTGGTGGTCGTTGTTGGTACCCGCTGCCCCGTCGCGCTGGAGCGCTCACGGACACTCGCCGAGAGGCCAGAGCTGGGCCCCTGGTGGGCCCAGCCAGGCGCCCTCGAGGCACCCGCCCCCAGACACGCGAGGCACGAGGCACCCCTGCGGAGAGGGCGTGGAAGCGCACGGTGATGGGCCAGTTCTTCGGAGGAGTGCTCACGCCACCGAGGAGAAAGGCTCACGCGGCGTACGCGAGACGGCTGAGCACAGCGACCAGCCAAGGCAGACTGTACGCACACGCAGCGTGGTAGATGTGCAACACGAATCAGCAGTGGAAGGGTTCGCGTGGGCAGAGTCACGCAAGGCGCGTGCGAAAATGAATGTCTCGGACACGCCAAAGTGTGACATCGGCCAGATGTGCAGGGACCCAGCATCCACAAGCCCGCCGGCCCTATCTGGTCCTTGTGGTCGTCGTGGTCGCGGTTGTGCACGTCGTCGTCGTGGTCGTTGTCTTCTTGAAGGGGAGAAGGAGAAATGAGGAGGAGAAGAAGGAGGAGGAGTGAGGTAAAAAAGGTCAAGGATGAGATGGGAGGGGAGCGAGTATTGAGGAGGAGGAGGAGGAGGAGGAGGAGGAGGAGGAGGAGGAGGAGGAGGAGGAGGTGGGAGGGTCCGTAGCCATTTTGGCTCAAGTCCGTAGCGTTTCGCTCAGGGACCGAGGCCTTTTTGGCGTGGGGGAGGCGCGCCCCTGCCTGTGATCCTGCGGCCAGTTTCTGGCTTCAGATTTTGTGAGCTCCTGCTGGAGCAAGTTTCTACAATTACTTTCTCTGGGCGTAGACCGCCCGCCGCACTCCGATGGGCTCTTCTCGTCGCGGCCAGCCTAGTATGCGTGACGATAAGGGCGATGCTCGGCAGTGGACGTGGGTGGGGCCTGTCAAGAAGCAGGACGAGGACGGCAGTGGATCCTCGAAGTCTCCGTGTCCCCACTGTGGCTGCAAGAAGAACCTTCCCCGCTTCTGGTTCTGCAAGCACTGCCTCCAGCCCCTGTCCCACGTGCAGCCTGCCGCCCAGGCGCCAGCCCAGGGCGTGTGGGCGGAGCTTCCGCCACTGGGCTCTCTGCCAGCTCACGGCGAGTCGGCCAAGGGACCGAAAGGAGGTGGCAAGGGCAAGGGCAAGAAGGGGGAGACCAAGGGGGGCAAGGGCTACATGCTCTTCCCTGGCCCGAAGCAGGTGGGTCCGCAGGCCTTTTTCGGCCCACCGCAGCCCCTGCAACAGGTGCTACCTGCGGGGCTCCAGCTTCAGGCATCAGGTTGGATCCCGCCTAGCGCCATGGCTAGCGCGAATGCTGACAAGGACTCGAAGTACAAGGTTGAGGACATACCCAAGCTGCAGGGCCTGCTCCGCACCTTCGAGAGCCTGGGCGACGGCCAGAACGTCAAGTACTACCAGGGCCTCATCGACAGGCTGCAGCGGGCTGCTGAGCCCAAGCAGCCCTCGGTGGGAGCGGCCCAGCACGCGATGCGGGAGGCCAAGCAGCAGCTGGACAAGCGCGTCAAGACAGCGGACTCATTGCGCGACCAGTACGTGCAGGCCCAGAAGCAGGCGGTGCTGGCCCTTCAGGACTATGAGCTGTGCCAGGCCAAGTACCATGAAGCGGTCACCTTGTTCGCTGCAGGCGTCCCGCAAGTTCGGCCAGAACCTCAGGGGCAGGTCCGCCATGGGCTGCATCTGTCTAAGCTCTTGGACGGCGAGGGCTTCGAGGTTTTCGAGGATGACGGTTTGTTCGGTCTCGAGGCTGAGGGGATCGAGATATCGGCTTCTGAGCGTGAGGAGGTCGAGAAGCGCAAGGCCGAGGTGGAGCAGGTCATCAAGAAAGCAGTCG